AGCAAGTTTAGGAACATTTAGCACAGATGACAAACGGATAGAGGGTGTGGGATTAACAGTGCCAGAACCGAGAACTTGAGACTGGGAACCATCAGCGATGGAAACACTTGACGGATTGGCAAAAGCATTATAAGAGGAGAAGAGATGGCTGTTACCTGTCATATGATCAGTAGCCCCGGAATCTATGATCCACTTTGAGGAAGAAGAAGCAAGGGCAGTAGCATTATTACCTGTTGTAGCTGCGGCACTCACAGACGGTGTAGTAGATTTTAACTGGGCATACTCAGCAGCAGAAATCGTGACTGTGTCACTGGCTTGTGTAGCCACGTGGGCAGAGTTATTCCGTTGCTGTTTATTCTGAAGTTTTCGACATGTGCGTTTTGTATGCCCCGGTTCTTTGCAGTAATAACACACTACCCCACTGGAGTCAGAAGGGGCTCCCCCTTGCTTCGAACCACCACGGGTAGGCCCCCCGCGGTTATCAATAGGACTACGAGTCTCATAGGTGCCCTTACTGAGCAAGGCACTTGTAGGAATACTAGCAGCTGGTGGCAAGAGATTCTCAGCTCTCATTACTCTGGAAAACACATCTTGAAGGTCAGAAATTTCAGATCCGGATAAGATTTGAGACCGAACTGTGTCGTACTCAGGTGGGAGACCAGTAAGAAAGCTCATAATAGCCATTTGCTCCCGTTGCTTATGCTGAACCTTCAAATCAGCAGTAAGAGGCATTAACACATTCAGTTCTTCATACATCCTTTTAAAGTCCATAAAGTAGGCTTTGAGAGGACGATCCTGTTTTCAGAACGATAGAAAGCTTTGCAGACCTCGTAAACACGAGAGATATTTCCTTTTCCTGAATACAAAAAATCTAAATAATCCATTAGTTCCTTAACCAATTCACAGTGATTAATAGAGGGAATAATCTCACTGTCAATGGAATTACGGATCTGGAAAAATAGCCGTGCATCATCCCGCAACCAGGTCTTTTTGGAATCAGTTGTTGGAGGATCATCAGTCAGATGGTCTTCCTTCTCAATGCTCCGCAGATAGAGGCGAATGGTTTTACTCCAATCCAAATAATTTACCCAAGTCAACTTGTGATCAGTAATTTTAGTAATAGTTGGGACAAGCTCCGAGACAGATTTAATTTCCGCCATAGATGAAGTGCACTAACCAAAGGGAATGCGAAAGAGTGTTACACAGGAACACAAAGCACGATACCTGGATTACCTAATGAATACCAAGGCAGTGAAAAGGCCAACAGCTACACAGGGAGCTGCAAACAGAACTGAATTGCACAAACAGCGTGCCGGAGATGCGCTAGAAACGAAACAGAACGCCAGAAAGTAATAAACCGTACGGACTGTACGGACGCCGAGTAAACAGTGCAGAGCGCACGGACTGTACGGACGCCGCCGGAAGTCGATGAACAGTGCAGACGTACGGACTGTACGGACACTGTACGGACGCCGAGTGAACAGTGCGGCGGCGGCGGTACTGTAGCAACCGAAAATTAACACCAAGAGAGAAAATTCCCACGCTCTGATACCATGTAGGAAATAGAATAATATGGAAAATAATTCTCTTGTATTTCATTGATCAGAATATACACATATATATACAAGTGAGAGGAGCCTCTGCATTAATGGCCCATTATGATAATATCATATCCTATCAAATCCTAATCATAATTACATAATATTTACATATCAAATCATATCATATCTCTACAAGTCGTAAGTTGATGATGGTATTGTTGTTCAGTGGCTCATATTATGTTTTCTGCCTCTCTCTCTTGAAGGGTTCTGGTACGATGGCTGCTGTGATAATCTCTTGCTACTCCGTCCAGTAGGAGTAGCTCACTTCTTTTTTCTGTTTTTTCTTCTCCATCAAGCTTCTGCTGATTCAAATCAGCCAAACAAAAACATTGAGGTTTCCGAGGGCTTCAAAGTTTTGTTGATTTTAATAATTGCTGGCGTGGACGGCTGATATCTTCAATATGAAGACATAGATATAGAATGTGATCCCCTAAGACTGCCCAAATGATAAGCATGGAGACATGGAAGGAAGTGAGCGGAAATCACATTTCGAAACCTCTTGATAAAAGTTATAACCAATATATATATATATTTGCCACCAATATAACCAATATGTATTTGACCAATGGATGTCACATTTTTATGTGATATGCACAACTCTCCTCAGATAAATACTCGTAACATATAAAATTTAAACACGTATAAAGAAAACTGATTAGATGGTCTCAACTCTCAAATCTAGTGTAAACACGTGGAGGAAAACTAAGAAAAAACATTGCCGATGAGCCTCTTAAAAAATATTGCGTTTTTTTGGGGTCAATTATGAATAATGCATTATGTAAATTCAGCTTTGCTCAAAATGCACCAGCCCATTGTAATGATATTTCAAAACCACTGGCGAAAAAGAAATTTTCAAAACCGTGAGCAGCTGTTGACAATTTAATACTCCTCCGATTCTTAATTCTTGAGTTGGTTTTAGTTTTAAATATAAGACCCATTTCTCATATTTATCAATTTTCTCTAAATTACCCCTATGGATACTCCATCAACTATAATCAAGTAGAAGAGGGAGAGGAGGTATTAAGAAAGATGATTATGGTGTTTTAGGAAAAATGTGTCACTTTTCTTATAATTAACTAACTTACCTAACTTCCTTAATTTAATCAAATTAGTTAAATGGGTCTTATATTAAGGACCAGAAAAGTATAATTTAGTCCAGCCATCGCAATATTTTGTATTGATCCAGCTCCAACCTCTTTCAACAAGAAATATCCATTCTCTTTTATTCTTTTATACAGACTCTTCAGAGGAAAAAAAAATATTTATAACTTGATGCTTCATCTGATGTTTTTCAATGTTAACAAATCATGATAGAGAGGCAACAATAAACAGTATAACTCATAATTAAAAAGTATGCATATTTAGTGACCGACAATATTTTTAATAAGATTGTTTTTAATAAAAAAAATCTTTGCGTGGAAAAAAATTGATTTACTAAGGATTTATATGCTTTTAGCGGTGTTGGCCAAAACAGAAAATCTGGCTTTAGCGGCATTTGTAGGTGATTCGAATCTCTCTCTCTACCCGTAAAATGTATGCTTATTAGTTATTTGCTTAGCTTAGTTTCGTTTTCAGTAGCGTAATGTTCCCATCAGCTTCGACAGGCGAATGGCGCAGATAATAGTGGTTCGTTTGAGGTAGTATTCTGGAGCAAATTTGACGCTTTTGACCCCGAGAATTTAGACCAAATTAGATAGTTCCCGAGCAGGAAAACTAAACCGCTCGTATTTCTTTAAGTAAATGTACTGTTTTTTTATTCTAAATATAAGAATTAGTTGAAAAATTGAACGTGGATCTAAATGTAAAATTTTAATTTACTTTGTCTTTTAAATTATAATATTTTTCTCAAAATATCCTTATTGGATTGCAAGAAATTTCTACTAACAGATAATTTTATTGGATATGATTAAATAGAGTAATTTATGAAAGTCAACGTATATTTTTTATAAATACTTAATTTAACTAGTTCTTTAAATTAGTTATCTAGATATTTAAAATACAACTCAATCCACTTATTTTTTATAAATTCATATATATTTTTACTTTAAACTATGCTCATTAATTGTACATGTTAAGAATGCAAATAAATAAAAGGAATATATTAAAGAAATCAACCTATTTAAAAAATAACTAGTTTAATTAATTATTTTAATTTTTATGTGAACATTAAAAAGGAGCATAATGTGAGCACAGGTGTTAAGAGAAATGCATTAAAAAGACAGGGAGGCGGGCAGATGCAAAGCACATGGACGTACACAACATGAGGGCCTGTGGCTGCGGATATGCCATATTGGGGCAAATGAGATGAGATAATATGATTGGCATTCAGAAATCGAAGGCTTTGGCTGTGTGTGGCTGACTCAGATTGCTGTGTCTTCCTTGTCACTTCCACGCCTTCCTGACTCGTTCCGCTTCCCTATCTGCCAACCTTCTTCCCTTCTTTCTCATTGGAGCCTGCCCTCATTCCTCTTTTGATATTTATATATCTTCACCTTATCTTCCTTGTTTCCGTTTCTCTCTGTTATAATCTTATCTTTATTCGTACTATATTTTGAATGTCTTCAATTTCGTCCTAGCAATGAGCATAGTGATAAGCACCCAAGACTTGCTCAAAATTAGAATAGGTTTTGAGGGGCTAGCAAAGAAAGGCTTGAAATATAAAATGAGTTCATTGATGATTCGCTCTAACATTTTCTTTTGTGAATTTAAATCGATAATTATTTTTTTTTACAAAAATACATTTTTTAAAATAATATTATTTTCAATCTAAGAACTAGTTGACTAATTTGAATAGACAAAAAAATTTGTTATGTTAGTTACTTGTATTAAACAAGTGCTATCTTTTCTAAAATATCATTCATAATCATATATATTAGATAAAATTTTCATTTAATAAAATCTTTAACATGTGCAGCTATTATAAAAATTATCTTAAAAAAATAAATAACTATAAAAAATAAAATAAATTAAAATATTATGTTTAAAATTAAATTAAATTTTATATTAAGAACCAAAATATAGTATTCATATTATTACATGGGGCATGCCTTGTCCTTACACCTAAAATCTGGTATTTCTGATCAGCGTTCTAACTTAACGGTGAAATAGCCTATCCACGCTCCGTTTTCCTCATTTAATAAAGCAAATTAATGTACCAATTTTCAATTCAGTGTCTCAAAACTGGTGAACGGTAAACAATTTATTATCCGAGAAATTAAACTCATCAAAGCCAGTAATGTTCGAGCCATAAAGAAGAATACCACATCAATGGATGATATATAATTAGGCAAAGGTGGATATATAATTACAACATTACATATTAAGCTCTCAAACCAAAACAAAACGATCATCCTCCTCAATAACACGTTTAAAAGGGTCTCAATTTTTGTTAAAAAAAAATTAAAGAGACCCCCAACAAACCACCCCTACAACTACTGAATTTACAATTGAAAGCCCTCGAATTTCTAATTGGGATGAAAAAAGAACCTCAATTTTTTTCTCAAAAAAAAAAAGAAAAAAGAAAGAAAGAAACGGGAGCTGCTTTACTCTTTCTCCATCTTCCATGATTGACAAAGCGATGATCAGCACAAAACCTGATGCTCAATTTCCCTATCAGCACTTGCCTCGCCCCCGACAAGAGAAAAACCATTACTTTTCAGAAGCATGTCCTCCATTTTCTTCACCTTGGAGTACAACAATGGCGATTCAGCGGGTATCTCGCCACTGGCTACCAATTTTTCCAACTCTGTCTCATCCAAACCTCTTGGTGGACCTAAACAACAACGCTCGGTCCCATATTTCGCCAGGGCATCCTTAAACTTCTTGATCTGTAGCACAACAAATCCAAATAAGTGTCAAGACAAACCAGATGGATAATGCAAGACTTCACAAACTGTGCTGGCTCAGATTCTTACAGTGGCAATGGTGCAGCTGAAGCTACAGACTCGACCCTCTGCTCCTCTGTAGAATCTGAAGAATGGCAACACATGGATGTGCAGACTATGGCACATGGGTTTTAGCTCCTCGTAGTTGACTTGAAGAAACTTTGCATTTGGGTACATCTCAGCTATTTGACAGATCTGAGGCAAACGAAGAAATAGATTCAGATGCTTTTACCATATTGGGTTTTTTTTTTTTTTCCCCTCCCTGAGTCATCAATATCAACATTATTAAGATACCTTGGGGTGAAGGGTTTTGCAGCCTCCACAACCAGGTGAGTAGAAGTCGACCACAACAAGTGAATCGCCAGCTTCAAGCAAAGAACGGACCAGTTCTTGAGCTGAATGGATCTCAATCATATTAGGCGCTTTGGTCTTCTCCCACCATCTAAGGGCTCGGCTTACACAAGCTGATGCCTGTGTTCCATACCAAAGATTTAATCTTTCAAACTGAAATCAAGAAACCATAGTGCAAAACACTTTTAACATACCTGAACAGAGAAATTAGTGGGGCTTTTCAAACTGCAATCCCACGAACCTTTTGCTACTAAGGGTTTCCCCATGATTTCATTGCTCAAAGAGGAAGGGACACCCGAATTCGCATCGCTGGATTTTGAGAAACAAACAGAGGAGGGGCAAATCCCTAAATCAGTTTTCGTTTTCGAGCTACGCAGATTCTCGCTCAACCCAGAAACACAGAAAACGTTCTTCGAGGAACAGGCCATTGATTCTGGTCAAACTCTGAGATTTAACGGCGCTTAGATCATACACAGTGGGACCTGACTCGGCTTGTGAATCAAGAACTGACCTTTTTACTTTTGGGATCCGGAAAAGACCGCTGTGAGGAGGGAGAGAAGGGTTTGTAGGTCTGTGAATCGACTTTTTCAAGGAAAGGCGCAAGGTTTGAACAAAAAACTGTGTTCTGCCTGAATGGTTTGGTGGGAGGAAGAAAGGGATTTGTTTGCTTTTATAAATGTTGTACCAAACAGCAGCAGAAAAAGAGAAAAAGAGAAACAGAGAAATGTGGTGAGCGGGGTCTGTGGTGATTTGGATTCAACTTTATCCATTAAATATTAAATATTCTGGTAAAAAAGGAAAAAAGGTTATCCATTTATCATTTTCATAGATTGGAAAAGAGAAAAGACATCCAAACTTTATCCAAATGCCTGATATTTTTGGTATTTATTTTCGTTTTCCATTGGTCGAGCAAGTGGGCGAGTGTCGCCCTTCCCCATGTGACGTCGTCTTAGAGAGAGTGAGATGGGAATATTATTATTTTTCCAATCCTATTTATAAAATACTTTCAACACATTTTATATAAAAAAATTTTTTTTAAATCATATTAATTTTTTATTAAAATATAATAATTTTTAATTTTATTTTTATTTAATATATATACTTTTAAAAGACATAATATGTATACTATATCAAATAAAAGATAAAATAATATATTTATATTAAAAATTTAAAAAGTAAATTATAAATAAGATTGAATGAGTAACCTATAAATAAGAAAAATCTTCTCCTTGTAAATAGAATCAGAAAACTAATACTACTCAGTTTTAAATATAAAACTTATTTTATAATATAAATACTCCTCCGTTCCTTATTATAAGAGACATTTGATGCTTATGGCATGTTCCTATATATAAGAGACACTTAAAAGTTGTCTCTATTTTTTTGTATTGATTTCCTATTTTACCCATATTTATTGTCTCCAACTCACACTCTCTCTCTTTTCCTCTTCTCTTTCTTTTAATAATTTACTATTGTTCTCTCTCCTTATTAATAAGGGTATTTTTGAAAAAAAAAATTATACTTTTTACACATTGATTGTTCTTAACTAATTTTAACTGTTTTTTTATCAACGTAATTCGGTTATTCGTCTCTTATAATAAGAAACGGAGGGAGTATATTATAAAATAAATTTATACGAAAAATTAGAGGAGCATTTTTTATTTTTATGATTTTGGCAGGCAAAGCCAATAGAGTAGATAAAGACATTAATTTGATTTCATTGGTTTTTGTGTTTCGAATTAATTTGGTTGAGTTGTCCCATGTGTCGTTGCGTTGTGCGATGTTTCGCGTGCTTTGATTCATTGATTTGACGAAGATGCCGAACAAGTCCTTTCACCCCATGTGATTTGGACTTATTGAATCATTAACATCAACAATGATCATTTCTCATTTTACAAGTAACAATCATCATCTTCTTCTCATTTTTAAATATAAATAATATTTATAAGTTGTGTTGATTTTTTTAACAATTTTTTATTAATTATTTATTTTAATACTTAATATATTTATTATTTTATTTTCTAAATTATTATATTTCCATCACACATTCTCTTGCTTTCATATTTTTTTATTATAATAAATTTTTTATTTCTCTCTTATACTCTTTCTCCACTATAAATAAGGGTATTTTAAAGAAAGAATTTTTAATTTCTATATATTTATTATCTTTAACTAATTTTAACTAACATTTGATTTACGTCATGAGCTAAAATGTTGTTTATAAAAAGAGATAGAGAGGGTAGTAATTTTCCAGAATAGCTCCTAAAAATAAGCATGGATCTTCATCTCTAAATTTTTTGAAACTAAGCGTAAGACTAAAAAGTTAGAAAAAATGACACAAAGATACTTGTTGAGTTTCAAAATGATAAATAGTAATTTTGACAGGTTTTGAATAGTTAAAAGTATTACAATAATAGTTAGTATGATCTATTTGTCTTTTTAAAATTTAACGTGTCTTTTTCTGTGATTCTCCCAAAAAGTTATTGATTTCATTACAGGAGAAGGCTAATATTAACAAAAAAATCATATTTTGTGTCATTTAATATCAGAATGGATTCAAATAATGAGTATGGGATGTTTATAATTAAATGCAGCATTTAACATTTTGATGGATATAAAATATAAAATCAAAATATTTTTTTGCCAGTATTCAGCGTCCAATGAGCACTGAAATTTGAAAATCCCTGACTGGTTCCATGAAGAATTTTATGTACCATTAATAACAATGATCAATGATCGGCATCAATAAATCAATAATTTGATAAAATTCTGGCACCAATAATTGAACTTGGCCAACCTTTACGATTGCTATACAACCATATTCTGCATAATATAGGCCTCACGTCTAACTTGGACAGATCAGAGTAGTAAGGATTTTCATCCCTTAAATGATTGAGTATTTAACAAACACTATTTTCGTATATACTCCCTTCTTCCCACCCATAACATGATAAGCCTTCTAGAAGAACATTTTAGTCCAAAATATAAGAGGTTGATGGGATAATTAATAATAGTGTTCTGGTGCTTTTAATAGGGACAAAATAGATTACTTTTATCAATTTAAAACACACTTAATGACTGAACTAATATTTTGCAGCTCGTGATAAAGGTTAACTAAAACAATCTTTGTTAATTCTTGTTGAATTCACACTTTTTTTGTATTATATTTATATGAAACGCAGATAAGGCCCCCGCTAATAATTATCTCTTCTAACATCCATTCGAAGCTCGCGAAAGTAATTTTTCCTTCTTGGCTTAACAAAGGAGATGGTATTAAAATCAAGTCCCAAGGCATACAAACTGATCCAATCGACACAACTGGAACCAAAACCAGCCCAGATTATTCGCAAACCAGACCACAACATGCAGAAGAGGAGTTTGGGATCCTTAGAAACACTTTAAAAAAAAAAAAGAAGAAGAAGTAATTTTATATAAGTTGAGCTAAAGCCTCTCTCCTTACCTTGATAAAATGTCAAAAAAAAAAAAAAAACAGAGCACAATTCAAGCAACTTCCTGTAGGAATAGGGGTTCTGAAACCCAATCAAGCAAGCACATCCCTAATAGAGCTATCAATAAGAGTTAGCCCGACCCTAAAGGGCTGGCCCTTCAGGCCCTAAGGAGCTAGCCCTTGAAGGGCCAGGGCCTAAAAGGGCCGGTCTTTTAAAGCCCATATATCTTAAAATTATCTAATTATTAAAACTCGGCTCTTAGACATGCAGGCTCAAGACTTAAAAGGGCTGGCCTTTTTATCTTATTTTTTAAACTTAAATTATTTAAAATAAAAAAAACAACAAAACTTCTAAGATTTTTATTCAAATTATAAATATAAGTAAAATAAACTTATGGTCTATAGAAAAAAAATTAAATACCAATAAACTATTCTCCAAAATAAAAAAAGTCAAAATCTAACAAAGCACAAAAAACAGAAAGATAAAAACCTAGTAGCTAAAGATTAACAACATCAACATCATTACTATCTCTATCTTCATCTTTATCAGTATCGTCAAGATCAGTAATATTTGATTGTTCTTCACTACAAGTGAGCTCTTCTTCAGTGATAAAAATATTAAGGTTTTTGTCTTCATTTACTTTATCTAAAATAAAAATATGCAGTAATTATAAGTACAAATAAGAGCCTAAACATTTGTTCGAATAAGAAAATTTTTACACTTTGTTAAAATATGTAAACCGATGGTAAATGAAAATTTACTAGCTATTGTAATGATTAAAATGTTAAGAATATCAGTTGCCATTTTTGAAAGAATTGAAAATTGAATTTAATTGTTCTTCCATAAGTCCAAGACATCTAATTCTTTTCAATTATCTGGCTTGAGTACTGGTTCTTTTAAATATTTTTCTAATTCAAACTTATTCATAAAAGACTAATCCATAACTTTATAAATACATTGACAATAATAACTTTATTTTAAACCACTTAAAATACAAGTCCGACTCTCTATTTAAAAAGACTGGCCTGATAGGCTTGACCCATTTTGACAGTTCTAATTCCTAACATGTTTGTATCAAGTCTCTACCAATTACCTTTTTGTCGGGGGATCCGATGCCCCATTTTTGGTGCACGCAAAAGGGCGGATTTTTGTTGGGCCTGCCCGCCCCCACCCGCCCCCAAAAATTCCCCCCAACCCCCCCGGGGATGCACCCCACGCCTTCTCCCCGGTATATATATATTATAAAATTTAGTTTCATAATTTATTTTGTTACCTTAAAAATGACCCTTGATTCCATCCGAGCTACAAAGCTTACGTATTCCTTGACGTTAATCCTCTCGTTGATGACGAGCGTGGAGTACAAGAAACTTCCAGTAGGCGTCGCGCACGGGATTTCCACTGCCTAACTCTTTTACAAGTCCATTGAAATTTTTTCTGGCAATCAATTTCTTCGCCTTCACCTTTCTCTGGAAGATTATCATCAAACCCTATGGGGAGGGTCGGATTGTTCGATCTGGAGAAGCACTTTGCCTTCTATGGCGCATACCATAGCAATCCAATTAATATCGTGATACACATCTTGTTTGTATGGCCAATCTTCTTCACTTCCCTGCTTTTTCTGTACTTCACGCCTCCCCTTTTTAAGGCCCCTGAACTGGGGCTCGATTATGGCCTCGTCTTCAATTACGGCTTCTTGCTTGCTGCTATTTATGCCTTGTTCTATTTCTCCTTGGATTACAAAGCTGGCTCTTTTGCGGCTTTGCTCTGTTTGGTCTGTTGGGTCGGGTCCAGCATTCTTGCTCAGAGGCTTGGGTTTTCTCTAGCGTGGAAGGTACGGATTACCCTCTTACCCGATTGAAGGATAAGCTATATACCTTCATGTGATTGCCTTGTAAATACTGGAAAACGACAAATTTTGTTTGGAGCTACTGGCTGCGTTGATGACCTTCTCTCTATTCAGATAAATCCTGGATTGTTTTCCTCCCATCCTTTGGTGATGACTATGTTTGACAGTAATAACACTGATACGGCTTCTGTACTGGAAGAAAATTTTTCATTCGGACCTTTCTTGTGAAGCTTTCGAAGTCAACCTTTTTGCTTCATTGTTCTTTCATTTCGTTAATGGCTTGATTTATAAGAATTTGTGATCGTTATGGATAAAATCTTACAAGCTTATCAGCTTTAGAAATTGCAATAGCTCACAGTCCCAGAAC